GGGCCAGACAGCACAGCCTCTCTGACAGGAAGGGAAATAATTTAGCAAAAAAGGTTTCATTCCATATCCCAAATTCACCCAGATGCCTTTTCTTCATTACCCTTGCTCATGGCCCCAGATCTAACCTGAATGAGGGAAGCTTGAGCTCTCGAGTCAGCCTTGGCTTCACTGCTAGCTGAATATACCTGTGTGAGCCTCAGTTTCCCTATCCCTAAAATGGAGACAGTGATGTCAAGCGTGCCAGCTTGTTAAGGCTAGAGAGAGTTAAGATGTGCTCTGTAGTGACGCTGCCAGGCCCTGTGCGCGCTCACGATACCAGCTGGCCAGCTGCCAGCTACTTCGGACCAGGCCTCTGCATTCCATGCACAACTTCCCTCACCAATTAGAACCACAGACATCCTTCAGGGGCAGTTCCAGGCTGCCTTCCTCCAAAGAGCCAGCCCTGGGCACTGCAGCATCCTGTCCTCTTCCCAGCGCCACCTCCACGGTGAACCGAGCACTGTGAGCACCTGGCCCACAGCACGACTCTGACCCTGCATGAACTCCAGCCCCCTTCCGAGCACACATCCAGGGCTCACACCTCTGAGCCAACCGATGTGATCAGCAACGGGAGCCTGTTAAAAGGCAGCTCTGAAAAAGACCCCTCTGCAGACCCCATGCATCCTCTGGGGCTGAGCCTGCCTAGGACGCCCTCCTCCGCCTCAGCTCGGCATGGTACCTGGGCCCGCAGACGGTCCACCTCTTCCGAGAGGCTCTGTCTCTCCAGGAGAAGCTGGTTCTGCTTGCTGAGGAGCTGCACCAGCTGCTGGGCTGAGGCCTGGCTGTGCTTATCCAGCTGTCTTAGCCTGGAGAAAAATCCACCGCAGAATTAGAGACTGTCCTGAAAAGTGTGGGCTTCAGAGAACAGAGGGGACGGTGACAGACATTAGCCCTTTCAGCTGGCTCTGTAGCTATGTGTCTTTGAGAGACGCTCCCGATATCCACGATGAGCTGGAGGGTCAGTGTGAGCCCAAGGTGCGAGGCTCCAGCTAGCAGTGGGCCCTTGGTAAGCATCTGTAGAGTTCAATGTCATTCTGTCAAATGTGCAAAGAAACTGGGGCCTTTCTCAACACGTCAGTCAATTATAAAACAGGTAAGTTGAGTCAGTAGAAGAAAAACTGAAAACACAAACTCACAAGTAGAGGTCAGGATGAGGGGCCTATGTGCCTCCATCATTCAGCAGAAACGACTCTGGCAGGTCGTGCCAGTGGCCAGCTCTGGTGGGGAAGTGGGAGAGGGACGATGCGAACGCTGAACTCAGGGCTTTAATTAATCACTATCATGAGCCCCGGCTGCATCGCTGACCAGGTGTCTTTAAAGATCTTAAATTTGTCATTCTGTGGATGGGCTCTCCTCCAGACTTGCCAATTCACTCAAGCTCTCACCCTCATCTGCCCACAGACGGCTTCCCACACAGCAGCACACTCACCTGTGGCACGTGGGCTGGGACCAGACTTAGAACTCAATGACTACCCTGTTCTGGAAAGAAGTCAGATGGGTGCCCGTCTTTGCCCATTAAAAGAACCAACAGGAACATCAACTTGTACTTTCACACATAAAAGGGTTTTAAAAACTCAAGGTTTGGGGTCAGCAGGTGGAGTAGGGGTTATGTTGCTGGACTCCCACATGGCGGACCATAGTTCAAGTCCTGGACCTGATAGCTTGAAACTCATGCAGGGCGTATGTACGTGCGTGCCCAAGATCCAGGGAGGAGAATGGAGGAGAAGGGATTGCGGCATGGTTATCCCCCAGGGGGTGATTTCTCACTTTCATTCTCTCTGGTGAGTGCACGCACCCTTTAGTAAAAACCTATCAAAAACCAAACGACCAAAAATCAGAAGGTGCGTTTTAAACTCTAGGCCACTGCATCCAAGACTCTGCTTGCAGACAGCAGCCTGAGTGGCCCTCTGTTAGAGCTCTCCTGGGGTGGCATTTCTGGTGGGCTCTGAGCACAACTGAATATTTACAAGATCAAAGATTCAGGCCTCTGAGCTGGGACAGGGTCCTTTACTAAAAACGATGCAACACTGGGCAGACGTAAGCTGCGTTCTGGAAACTGCGATATTCCAGTTCTCTTCCTCTTCTCCCCAGGCTCCTCGCGAAGTTCTACACCTCCCCATCACGCAGAGGGCCCCTCCTTCCTCCCCCCACCTGCTCCTCTCAGCCTGGATGTATTTGGCTGGCGTCTTTGTTCAAGGGGACCTAGCACCTGGGACTGCGCCCTCTCCCCTGAGTACTTTGTGGCTTGTGTTCAGTCACTCCCAGCGTTGAGTGACTTCTCACCTGAGGTGTCCCACATTTGCACAGGGGAGGGTGAGGAATGGGGCAGGCCCATGTGGCAGGAAAGCCAGCACAGCCAACAGTTCCAGGGCCTGACCCACCCAGCACGCAGCCTCCACCTGGCCACGCCGACGGGCCACATCACCCACGGGCCTGGAGTAGATTGGAGGGCTAGAGTGTGACCCAGCACCTCTCCAGATATGGGTGCTCTTCCACCCCAGTGGAGACCTCCCACCCAAGTACCAGAGTTCTGTCTGTGCTGCATAAATGGCAGTGACATGCCCCTGCCCAGATCTTGGGGCGGGGGCGTAAGTTTGTTTCTGGTGCTTTGCTGCTTAGGGAAGTCTGGTCTGCTCACCCCCACTGCCCTGTCAGCCTGAGGCCAGCCCTTTCTGAGGCCAGCGGGTGTGGCAACTCTGCCCAGGACGCCCACCGACACATGCAGGCGGCCCCTATTCAGGAGCACCCCACAGTCCTCCAGGTGTGGTAATGGCCTTGCAAGGCTGATGGGCGAAACATCATCCCAGTGCTGAGCTGGCTCACTGTGCAGGCTCCTTCCCTGCAAAGCAGCCCTGCGTGTGGAGAGGACCGCAGGCTCAGCTCCGACCGAGCAGCCCACCACTTCCCACTGCTCAGAACAAACAGCGCAGAAGCACTAGAAATCGTGCACATTGGCAAGGAGGCGCCGGAGTGGCCATTCTGTGCAGTCCCTGGTCCTGTGTTTGCATCAGGTGGAACAACGATCGTGCGGACTGATGAGTTCAGTGTGTCTGGGGGCTCCTGAAAAGAGATGGCCTATGCAGGGTGAGGACAGAGGCATGACTGCTTTTTCCTATTTCCAAAATCCTTTCCATGGAGCCTGGGGTGAGTCACGCCCACAAACGTTAACAGGTCATTTTGGCCCATTTGATAACAGGACTCTCCTGTCATCTTGTCCCTGGCATAGTATCTTTGCAATAGGTGAGTCACATCCACAATGATTAAAAGACCATTTCGAGGGACTGTCCCTTGGCATAATGGCTATGTTGCTGGACTCCCATGTAGTCGACCGCAGTTCGAGGACCGGACCCGGTGGCTTGAACTCACACCGGGCGCATGTGCGTGTGTGCCCAAGATCCCGAGAGGAGAATGGAGGAGAAGGGATTGCGGTGTGGCCATCCCTCCTGGGGGAGTGATTTCTCGCTTTCTGTCTCTCTGTCTCTCTCTGTCTCTCTGTCTTTCTGGCAAGCGCACGTGCCCTATAGCAAAAGTCTCTCCAAAAGAAAAAAAAACAACGAAAACCACTTTGACTCACTGATAACTGGACCCTTGCTACACCCTGTCCTTGTGTACAGAAGCCCCCTTCTCTCCGTTCCAATAACTCTATGCTGATGCCTTCCAGAAACACAGACCTTCCTTTCCAATCACCAACCTAAGAACTGAAAAACCTACGTATGGCCGACAAGCCCCATCCCCTCCTCCACCCCTGCTTCCAGATGTCCCGCCTTTTTGGGCCAGACCAATGGAAAACTCTTTTCACTAAATTACGAACCTTGGAAAGCTAAATATTTTAGAGGGGAACAAAAAATCCCAAACCTTGTCTGTCACTCTCAAAATCAAATGAAAGGAACCCCTGTATTTGGTCACCCTGAGAAAGACATAGATCACGCACATTCGTACTTAGAAACGTGCTTAAACCACATTGGGGCCAGCAGGTGGCGTGGTAGTTAAGGTGCTGCTGGACTAATGCTAATGGCTAATTGCGGTTCAAGTCCTGAGCCTGGGTGCTTGCTTTCTCACTTTCCTTCCCTCTCTCTGTCTCTCTTTCTCTCGCTTGTGAGAGTATATCCTTACAGCAAATTCAAAAAGTAATAGTAATAATTAATAAAACTAAATAATAAAAATACACATTAATTATTATTTGTGCAGAGTTCCTTATCTCCATGGACAATGTCAGAGTTAACGCCTGCTCTGGCAGCACAGAACCAACCATGAGCAGGCCACGTTAGCTCGGCCACCAGAGGTGGGCCCCTCAGACCCTACAAGAGGCTTGGTGAAGGTGCGTCACAAACTTCAGCCCAGCCCTCACCCATCCCAGCCGTACCAGACAGTGTCCAGGTGCTGCTAACCACTGCTGATGGTGGTTCACTCATTTGCTGAAATCGCCAAACGGACCCTTTGAAACACTTCCCAGAGGCGAACCGCGGTAGGTGCTGGCGTGCATCAAGATTTTAGAAATGGCCTCTGTCCTTGGAGGGCTCCCAGGTGGTTGAGGAGAGACCAGCTTGGAAACAAACGGGGCTGAGTGCAAACGGAATACTGCGAGGGCAGGAGGACGAATGGCCTGGACAGCGGGGCGGGCCGGCAGGCTGGGGCCTGCTTAGGAGCCCGCAGCGGCAGCGCCCCCTGCTGCTGGGTGCGCGCCATCTGCCAGGGGCTGTCCTAAGCTCCCCATTTACCCACTATTTCAGTGCTCGCAATCATCTAATTATCTCCCTTTAAGGATGAGGAAACTGAGGCATGGACAGGATAAATGGCTAGTCTAAGTCACTCCGCTGGAAGCTGAGTGTAAAAAGGTGAGTTTGTGCTGGTCTGGAAGGGCGGGGGCCTGCCCTCGGCGGGGCGGCCCTGTGAAGGCCATGGGTGCCTGGGAACTGCAGGCGGGGCAGTGAGGCCAGACCAGAGGCTGCGGGCTGCTCAGGGGGAGGTGACACGGGATCCAGGAAAGCTTGGAAGCTGTCGTCCTGCAGGCAGTGGGGATGCTGTGTACAAGAGGATGGGGGACAGGAAGGGCCTGGGTAGCAGAGCAGGGTCAGGTGACCCATGCGCCGTGAGCACCTGAGCTGCTCGGGCCCAGGAAGGGCCAGGCTGGAGTTGCTGTTGTGTGGCCAAAC